AGCAGCAATTGTCGCAATGGAAGTGCCCTTCTTCACCTTGGCCAAAAAAAAGCTCGACAAGTCAAGAGCAACATTAAGTCCATGTTGATCTGTTTTTTTGGATATTGACGGGATTGTTCATAAGGAGTTCATCCCTCCTGGTCAGACAGTCAATAAAGAGTTCTATCGTGATGTTCTAAGGCGTTTGAGGGAGAACTTGAGGAGAAAACGTCCAGAGAAGTGGCGCACGAACGACTGGGTACTCCACCATGACAACGCATGACCACATACGGCTTACATTGAGCAGGAATTTTTGGCTAAAAACAAGATGGCAGTTGTTCCCCACCCACCGTACTCACCAGACTTAGCTCCATGTGACTTCTTTCTCTTCCCCAAGATGAAAATCAAGTTGAAGGGGCAAAGATTTGATACAGTTGAGGAAATTCAAGCGGAAACGCAGACGGTACTAAACACCCTAACAAAGAAAGACTTCCAGGATGCATTTGAAAAGTGACAGAAACGCTGGGATCGGTGTATGCGCTCCCAAGGGGACTACTTTGAAGGTCATGGTGCAGAATAAGATCTAGGTAAGATGTAATAGTTTTTATTAATATATTTCGGGAACTTTTGGATTGCACCACGTACATACAATACTATAACTCAGAAGCTCTATTAAATGCCAGTAGGAGGCTGGTCGAAAGGAAGTGATCACAGAGGAAATAAGCTAATGCCTGACAAATGTCTAGTATTTAGTGACAACAGTAACAAATCGAAATTGTTTTCTCTGAGGAAATTAGAATCAGATTAAATTCATGCAGTACTTGCTGCTGCTCAGTTTTGATCTTGTCTTCCCGTTTGTTATCTGAAAATGTTCTTTTGCATGGGCATGAAGCTTGATCTCTCAGCCAGATGAAAGGTTGTAAGTTTACAGTGTTTTTGATCAGGGTTATCAGAAGAATATTTGGACCTGATAGAGAGAGAGTAATAGGACAGTAAAGGGAATTGCATAATGAGATGTTTCATAATTTGTCTTCTTCACTGGACATTATTTCATTATGAAATCAAGTAGTGTGAAATGTCTTAGGCGTGTAACAAACATGGAAGAGAAAAAAAAAATGCATACATAATTTTAGTCAGAACACCTTAAAGGAATGGACCACTTGGGAGTCCTAGACATAGATGGGAGATGGATCCTAAGGAACTAGGATATGAGGGCATGGACTAAACTGAATTGATTCAAGATAGGGTCCAAAGGTAGGTTGTTGCGAATGTGGATTCTAATGTCTGGCCTACAGACTCCATCCACTGTTCACCACTTGGTCTTGGCTAGTAGAGACCACAGCTCTGTGTGTAAATACACAGTGCAAACCAAATACTTGACACATCACTCCCAGATTAACACAGCTGATCACTCAAGAAGGCATGGTAATGACCATTCAGGTCCTGTAAATGACAGAGCTTTTCTGGGCTGACTGAATATTAGCTTTTCAGAAAGAACTGTGCTGCAAACAGTTACATGTATCTGAGGAAAATTCAGAATTTTTTCTCTGTGTAGCTATGTGTACCAGCTTCAAACAAAATATCAGCATCAGATATTCCATGAGAGCTACTTGATGGCGAAGAAGATGTGTGCATGGTACGCAGAGCATAGAGATGACACTGATTCAGCGTTAGGTATGGAAGTTGTGATGGCCGAGGGAGGTACAACAGCAGCTCTTGTTGAACTGTTTACACGGAAGCAGGTGTGTGTAATTATACAGAGATAGCTTCTGTGTACCTTCAGTCCCAGGCCTTTTCTAGTATAAGTATCCATGATTAGTTTTACTGTCATCTGCATTTGTTAAATAACATAAATAATTAGGTAATTATGTGTGGTGAATGGGAAGAATGTTGAAAGTAACTGTGGTCTGTTTTAAGGTTTTCTACCATCATTAAGTTTGAGATTTTAAAATACAACCAATTTGTTATGGTTGATCTCTTTCATACAAATGCATGACTTTCAGCACAGACTGATATGTACCTATTATTTATCACCCCTTCATGGTAATCATTAAATTGGTATGTATTTGATGTTCAATTTAAACATTAGAAGAAATGTGAACATCTGATAAACATCAATTTTTACATAAAAGAGTTCATATATCAGTCCTAATGCAATATATTTTAGGATGATATGGAGTTTTTAAAAATGTAAAATGATTCCCAGAATTCAAAACATGTCTTGGCACTATTTATAAATATTAAAAATTATGCCAGAGTAATTAATGTCTTAAATGTAGCATATGTATTATAAGTTAGTTATTTCTGAACTTCAAAATGGAAGGTGTCAAAAAAGACGAGCAGGGACAGCCAAATGAGGAAAGGTGTACAAATGCAGGCACAGATACAAGAGGAGTGCTTAAAGGGGGAACACACATCATAAAATGGCCCACCCTAATGGAAAAATCAGCGGATAATGATGCATTTCTGTCAGCAGTACTAGACTAATAATAACAATGTTTGTTTTATTGCAGATGAGTTTTGAGGTAGAAATTCCTGAGCAGATAATCGTTCTAGATCCAAGAGTATCAGAAAAGGATGAAACATATGCACGAATTGTTCAGGTAACCATTGTTTATAAGTCTTTATCAGTTTTAATCAATTTTATCAATTCTTTAAATATCTGTAATGGTAGTTGAGTCATTACATCACGTGGCTGTTGTACATTGTCCAATGAGTTATATTTAGTATTGTCACACGTAGGATGGTACATACGACAGAAAATAATGGGTTCTAATATGGATGCTTTATTAGCACTTCAATTAAAAGTTCTCTTGATTACCATTAATACAACGCTGTCTCTGACTTACACACTTTCCAGTCTACCATTACACGTGCCCTAGGATTCTCAGTTTCCACTAGTCTTTTCTTAGCAATGGATCTGAACACAGAAAGTAGCACTTCACTGTGAAGTCTTCTTGCTATTTTGGAAGTTGTCTTTACTCCTGTCTTCATGTGATTGGTATTATATTGACAGATATTTTTATTTTAGAAATTAGTGGCTATAGTTGGGATAGTTGGGTCACTGGACACTGGACACCCTGGTATAAAATACGTCTGAAAATGGGAGTACAGACAACTCCTGAAACAGTGTGTACATGAAATCTACCTTAGGCAATGTTCACTGTCCTAGATAATGGTGATATAACATATTATGTTAATGTTATATTTTAGCGTCCTGTTGCACTGATTTAAGT